AAGGAACTAATTGAAGGATGGGAAAATTAAGGTATCTGGAAATATCTAGGACTTGAACATGACAGAGATTATGCTGTCAGCATTCTGTAAAACAGCACTTCTTTCTGCGATGAAAAGAAGTGCAATTCATGGTGGTAAAAATCGCAACTTCTGAAAAGGCCATAAATGCCGTAGTGCTTCACTATCTTATTTCTTCAAAGTAATCAATTCTGGCGTCTGGTGACAGCAAATGTACACTTTATATGTGAAAGTAGATGTGGAGTCTTACGAAGATAAATGAGATCCAGGTCAAGAAAACTTGCACAGATATGCTTAACAGCTTTCTTGCTCGAAATATATTAGTAGCAAAAAACGGATACTCAAGGGATTCTTTGCCTTTTTGACTTCGTTTAACAACTTACACAAATGCGTTAAACTTCTATAGTCTTTAATGGTTGTATCGCTCGCAAAAACCCATAGCCATGTGTTATTATGCTTAAAAAATAGGTTTTTCTCTTAATATTTGGAAAACCTTGTGCACTGAACAACATGCTGATGACGTCATCGGCGACAAGTCGACCGAAAGATGAGTCGCAGGGGAGGGGTCTGCACTTTTACATATATGTATATATATAAATATCACAGCGATCTAATAATCTTCGACTGGACAAATCGCGTTCTCAATCTCAACCATACATGGGAAACGATCCAACATATATTGAGAAGACAAATTTTGGATGGAGTAAAATAACAGAACTGAAAATTAAAAGAACGGTTTACCACTGATGTTCCATCCTCTAACTCCTGTATTTTGTTACTGACATGTGGGGGTAACTGTCGTTGTCCTGCTGTGACTGGACCACCAGAATTAATGAACGTAGCTTCATCGGGGATAGCATCTGAAATACCTTAGTGATGTCTTGAATTTCGAGTTAACAGACTGAGCAAAAGCAAAAGTGCATAGATAATCGCACGAATAGAGGTGTCATTAAATTCGAGTTCAACTCACTTTGCAGAAATGGTGCACAAACAATGGCGCGG